TGAGATGGAAATCCCAAAGTGATTCCCGCCAATAAAATGGGATATGGGAGAGTCGTGACCTCAGTCTCATACCGAAATTCCAAAATTTTGAAATCCCAAAATTCCAGGATGGGCTTCCCTTGAGCCCCATTTCCACCATCAATCCCATGGAATCTGAGACCCCATTCCCACCCCAAAATCCCAAAATTCCAGGGCATTCCCATGTCAACCGAACCCCAAAATCCCACAATTCCAGGGTGTTTCCATGACCTCATTTCCACCCAAAAATCTCAAAATCCCAAAAATCCCAAAATTCCAGGATGGGTATGCCCATAACCCCATTCCCACCCCAAAATCCCAAATCCCAAAAATCCCAAAATTCCATTACAGGAATTCCCTTGAGCGCATTCCCACCATCAGTGCCATGGAATCTGAGACCCCATTCCCACCCCAAAATCCCGAAATCCCCAAAATCCCAAAATGGGCGTTCTCACGACCCCATTCCCATCCCAAAATTCCAGGGCGTTCCCATGTCAACCGAACCCCAAAATCCCACAACTCCACAGTGTTTCCATGACCTCATTTCCACCCCAAAAACCTCAAAGTCCCAAAAATCCCAAAATTCCAGGATGGGTGTTCCCACGACCCCATTCCCACCCCAAAATCCCAAATCCCAAAAATCCTAAAATTCCAGAACGGGCATTCCCTCGAGCCCATTCCCACCATCAGTGCCATGGAATCTGAGACCCCATTCCCACCCCAAAAATCCCAAAATCCCCAAATTCCAGGACGGGCATTCCCACGACCCCATTGCAACTCAAAATCCTGCAATCCCCAAAATCCCAAAGTTCCAGGGGGTGTTCTCACGACCCCATTCTCATCCCAAAATCCACAAATTCCAGAGTGTTCCCATGTCAACCGAACCCCAAAATCCCACAATTCCAGAGTGTTTCCATGACCCCATTCCCACCCCAAAATCCCCAAATCCCAAAAATCCCGAAATTCCAGTACAGGAATTCCCTTGAGCCCATTCCCACCATCAGTCCCATGGAATCTGAGACCCCATTCCCACCCCAAAATCCCAAAAATCCTAAAATGGGCGTTCTCACGACCCCATTCCCATCCCAAAATTCCAGAGGGTTCCCATGTCAGCCAAACCCCAAAATCCCACAATTCCAGGGTGTTTCCATGACCCCATTCCCACCCCAAAAATCTCAAAATCCCAAAAATCCCAAAATTCCAGGATGGGCATTCCCATGACCCCATTCCCACCCCAAAATCTCATGGAATTGGAGATCCCATTCCCACCCTGAAAATCCCGAAATCTCAGAGTGCAAAATCCTATAGGGTACCGAGGGGGTCCTATAAACACTCAGACCCTATAAAGGTCCCCTAAAGAGCCCTATAGACATCCCCCTATAGACCCTCAGGACCCTACAGAGATCCCCTATAGGTCCCTAGACCCTACAGAGCTCCATCAGCCCCACAA